AAAGAAGCGTGGACATGGACCCGTGGGTGGTGTGTGGCACATCAAACATTTATGTAGAGACACACCGAAAATTCCAAGCTAGTTCCTGGAAACCCAGATAGAAAAGATCTTCAGGTTGAGCCATCTTGTCCATCTCCGATGGCTGTACAGAGCAAGTCTCCTTGGGTCATGTTGGAACATTAGATTTGTCTTCCACCAGGTGCAAAGACTTTCCAATGATTTTCTCATTTAAACAGCACTGGAGCCAAAGCTTAGCACATGGAGCTCCAGTTACACAGAAAAATGTACTTCTTCGTGTTCAGATTGTTTCGAAGAAAATGTACTCAGGACCACTCCATCCATTGCTTGTGCAAGGTTGCAACCCTAGCTCCATAGGCCATAGGATATGCACCACTTGCTTTTAGGTCTTTGCCTCCACACCTGCAATCAAACCCTTGATGAAAACATTTACCTTGACGTCTGTCTGTGGCATGGGGTCCGGGGCCAAACAAAAACTACATTCAAGCTTCAAAGGGTTGGACATTCTTCTGAGACCTGCACACCGATTTGTTCTTCCCTTTCCGCACCATCTCCTTCCCGTGCCGCTTTTTGCGTTCACCGATCTCCTCCGTCTTAGTCTTTGTGACCAGGACATGAAGATGAGGAAGATATGGCCTGGGTGCAGGTGCCAGCATCAGAACAATGTTGGGCCGTGGTGGGGGTGGCACAACAACTACAATTATACCTAGCTGCGCATTGCCAAAGGCCACTTGCGGCTTAATGGTCCAGTGCCCATACAATCCCATCCACCTGAGGTCGAACGATAAAGTAACACTGATCTGGCCTTGTGGCATCACTAGTCCTATCAAACTTGCATCCAGTTGGGTTGCAAGGTGCACGAGTACTAGTCATTACAGCCGAACCTTTAGATACAGTGCAACCTCTCTGTTTTGACTCTTGCTTGTAATTATGAAAGCTCATGAAGCATCAATTGAGGACCGAACCATTTGACCATCAACGGTCGTAGGAATGAGTGCATCAGCATTTGGAGCGGCGGCATGTGAACAATACTGGTTCTTTCTGGTTGTTCAACTGCCCACACACATCCCCGAATTGCTTTCAGAAGTCCCAAGTCCGATCCCAGGTCTTGGAAAACTGGGTCAATTTCAACCTCGAATCCTTGCCTCAGGACACAGTGATTTGATGGATCTTGATTTGCTATCAAATTAGCTAGGATGCTGTGACACACACATTCACCAACCCAGAAAACAAGTTGCGCTTTCATGCCACGGTAGCCTCAGATACCCCGGTGGTGGAGACAGGTACACAGTCTGTCGTACAACCCACAGTACATGCAACCCAAAGTGCACGCAACACAGTTTGAGACACACAACCCAAAGTACATGGCCATTGTACATAAATCTTGAGATAAGAAACGGAAACTTGTCACCAATGTTTGTTTGCCACTGAAGACTTCCACACATGACAAGCACCGGCCAGGATCACTCAGTGAAGATACATAGTCGGCAGCATGTATCCTGGGCTGCTGCATCAACGGTGCTTGCAAGGCAACTTGATGCAACCTAACACAGGGACACGGTCGATTGCGTTTTTTAGATATGGATATATCGATGTGTATATATCAACTCATACTGTTGGGTGATAAGAATACCAAAAGACCATGGACGGTACATGGTGATTGAAGGTTGGGAAAAAGGAGTTTTGATGGGTTTTGCAATCAAGTCACAACACTGGAGGAAGCCCCATCAATAGCATAAGTGCACATTGCTTTCGGGTGAGGGCACAGCTTCGGATAGGCCCAGGCATTGTCACCAGTACCACACTAATTATAGCACACCCTGGCCCTTCGAAATGCTGCAGTCGTTTATTTTTGTCTATTGCAAGAAGACCTCAGAGCTAAAAAATGCATACCATACCACATCCCTTCTTTATACAAACAAACATGTAAGATGCAAGGGGCACTGACACTGTTCTTCCGGCTGATGGCCACACCTGCGTGGGTGATCATGAACAAGCATAGATTGATTGTCAGTCACTTGGACCATGCACTGGCATGTATACCCACGAACCATGCAAGATCCACGGTTCATTGTTTTCACCACTGCAAACACATACCCCAGTGTCTTAATGACACCCTACAAACAAACCCCAAATGCCGCAGAATAATCTGCATGCACATCAAAATTAAATCTCTATGCGCCGCGCATCAGGCTAGCTGAAATCAAAGTCTAAGATCTTAGCTTCACCTGCACACACCATGTCCTGAAAGATCATGACGGGACCATGTTCTTGATCGCCTGCTTCACCTGCATCGGTGGGTAGGTGGCCAGGCTAAAGTTGAATTTCAAAGCAGTACACATTCCAGCAGCTATCCAAGTGCTAGATATTGCAACTGCGCTGGTACGTATGCACACACACCAATATCTACTGCATGTGGCCTGATCGAACTCATGGCTGGGTTCCTTGACCCACCTTCCAACAATCTTTGCCGCATACCACCTGGGATCTTTGGGGTGTATCCATGTCACATCATTTTATGTTCCCAGTCCATGAAAAAACTAGGGCATTGAGGCCACCACGCAACGATCAGAGTAGGCCACTTGCCCCAACCAAGTGAGCAGCCACCCGACTTGTCTGCCTCAAAACAATAGTGCAGCAGGCACAAAGCAAGGACAAGTGACAGACTGTGCCTAACACATCCACATATCCTCATGTGTGTTGCAATGCAACATGCTGGAGTCACAAATATGCTTACAAGGCCTAGGTGCATGCACCAGAGGGATCATGAAGTCTGGCACTGTGGCTTGCGTAACATAGAACGATTCCTGATAGAGGATGACTCGAATCTTTGACTGCTGTCCAAGGACTTCTGGCAAAGCAGTCCAGCACTTGTTGCTGAAACCGGGTCCAGGAAGACCAATGTCTCGACAGTCCTGGCTGTTGAGATTCTCGGCCAGCTTCTGCAGGCCAAGTTTTGCTTTCTGGATGCGTTTTTGCTCCGCAGCAGAAGGCTCCTTTGGTACAGCATCAGGTGCAGGATCCTTCTTCTCAATCTTGGCCTCCACATTCACATTTGGGCCACCCTTTCGCTCTGTGACAGCTGCACCCCCATCAGCGGCTGGCTTTGAAGCCTCTTTTGCCTCTCTTTGCTTCCTTCGGTGAGCCCTCTTCGAACCCGCTGACTGTTGAATAGTTGCCTCTGCCGTACTGGCACCTGCAGAAGCTTTCAGCCGGCGCTTCTTGAGTGGAGCCTTGACTTCAGGAGAGCCTTTCTCACATGCTGTACTGGAAGCTGCGTCAGCAGCTTCATCACCCTTGCCACCAGCCATCGCATCATCCTTGAGATTCCCAACCTCCACCTCCGACTTTGGACTGGCTGGGGCCACTTGCTTGCGAGGTCGCCCACGTGGTTTCGGGCCTGCCGCCTTAGCTGCTTCCTTCAACTGCCTCTTCTCCTCATGCTCCTGCATCTTCTTGAATGCCCTTTCCTTTTTCTCCTGGACCAGAGTGGGGCAAGCCATGCATGTGATCCTTTTTTGCTATTTATAAATTGCTGTTTTTTACTTTGTCCAGGTTCCTTATGCAAATCCAATCTCACAGATCTAGTCATGAAATTCAAAGATGCACAGGCTACCTATATTCAAGCTTGATGCATGCACATATGTGCATGCCACAAACCACAACAGCTGTCCCCTCCCCTCCGACCTTAGCACCATCACCTCGCATCTTCCCTTGAGCAGCAGCAAGACCATCATAGGTCTTTTCCTCAACCTTGACAGTCACGTCACTCTTGGTCTCCACAAGCTCAGGCTTGATCTGCAGCTTGGGGTCAATCAGTGGCTTTCTGTCCTGCAAAGGTTCTAAAGGAAGGTTCATCAATCAACATCATTGTTAATCTTCACCATATGGCAAACAAAACAATCCCACTCAATATGAATCACTAGAACTTGTGGGCACTAGTGATTTTCATTCATACACCATCAATCAAACATTCCTGAAAGCCCGGTATTGGAGCACCATCTCCAGCTGCAGGATCAGCTGCACTGCTGGCAGGTGCCTGCATTGGGTCACAAATTGAACATCAATCGCGATGCATGGCAAAATTCCACAATCCATGGCGTAGGAAAAACATAGTAAAAAATATGTATATGTATGTACATGTACCTCATCCTCATCGAAAGCGTCAGTTGAGTCAGCTTCATCATCCTGGTGCATGTACACACTATACTTCATACTTTCAGGTATGCAGTGCTGTAGTGCTGCTAGAAAAAAACAAGGAGCTCCTTCTCCGGGTCAAAACAAGGAGTCAGCGGCAGCCTTTCCTCCTTCTTCGGGGTGAACTCCAAAGGGTCCTGCAACTAGCATTCATTCTGACCTATTCAACTAGCCTCCCAAGTTCACAGTCCTCTGGGGCTTCGTCAATGGCCAGAGTGTCTGTAGATGGCAAGCTCTTTAGGGCCAAGTCCTGGACTCCCAGAAATTTGAAGTCAAGACATACCTAGGCCAAGAAGCATCTTCCTAAAGAGGGCAGGAGCTTCCAATCTTAACCACTACCAAACAAACACCAACCAGGCAGATCAGGTGACAAAGAGTCAAACATGAGTGCACATGGAAAAGGAAAAGGCATGCCATCTCCTGTTTTTGCTTTTCATCCGGAGTCATTGGATTCATTTCCAGATCTGCCATCACTGCCAAGCCCCGTCCATGTGCCACTATATTCTTCAACACCCGAATCTTTGGGTTCCTGCATTGCAGTTGGAACACATATATTGACATGTACATGTACATGTACATGTGCAGCAACACCCCCACACACGCACAAACCCCACCTTGCTTCCTGAGTTCTCTGCGTGATTCGGACAACATGTTGAGCCAGCATTCGAAGTTTTGAGGCTTCCGTCCCAGCCCGCTCCTGCAGCTCAACAAACCAGCACCTGGCATACATGTAGCATGCCATGTGACATACAGGTACCATGTAAGACAGCACCACCAGTCCTTCACTAAACCACGCCCACCCTTTTGCAAGTAGAGCTCGTTCGGGAAGAGGTTAAGAGATACAGCCAAGAGTGCCACTGCCGCCTGCACTCGAATGGTCTGGGTGTATAACTATTGACGTATCTATAACAATAGTTGAATACTTGCAGGTGCCCACGTGATCATGTAAGTACATATGGGAGCCTTGTGGTGCTCCAAGTCTGGTAGACCATCAGGCTCAGGTGCCCAGCGAATGAGGTACTCTTTGAGGAGGTCATAGTGATTCACAATGTCCTTTTCATGGACCTTGCGATCTAAGTATTGGCGCAGCTATTGGACCCCCAAGAGCATGAAGAATGGTGCATACTTGTTGACCAACCTTGAGGTGCAACCAGGGAGCAATCATGCGTTCCTTGTCCCACTTTATCAGCATCCTATCCTTAAGTTAGGACTAGATACAGAGTGAGACAGCCACACAGCTGTATGACCATATGAGGAATTTGCTTGAAAGTAAAAGTGACCAGCACATGGTGTTGATCATAGTGTCTTGTTCCATGAGTTCTCCAACCTTCGACTCAAAGTGGGCCTTGAGCATAGAATGGATTTCCTCTCCTTCAACCTCAGGGGACACAGGACAATTGTAGTTAACCTTTCCCCTGATGTATCATGGCAGCATTTTGTTGTTTCAAAGGGTCACCGCTTGAAGCTTTAGAGTACCAAGCAACACCGATGTGTATCGCAATGGGTTTGAAAAGATGTTTCAGAGGCAAGCGTTCATCCTGAATCAATGCCACCATGGCCGCTGCTGCCAAGGTAAGCAAAGGGTAGGCAACTATGATCAATGATGCCAAGCACGATCTTGCTCGAGCAAAGAAAAGTGGCACCGGGGTGCTGGCAGAGCAGCAGGGATTGGCACCAGGGTGCCCCAGGATGACTCTATAGATGATTCTAAAGGAGATCTAGAGTATAATCCACTAAAGTCTATCTAAAGTATGATCCTCAAGCATGATTCCATCATGTAGCACGTGTGGAGCTGGGACAGGGGGCGCACGGTTTCGGTTCTGGGCAGCTTTTAGCAGCCCCATGGCTCCAAGACACCCCAGCTTGAGCAAAATGCCCTGCTCCACGGAAATGTCTCGAAGTCCATCCTCAACACGTACTTGGACCCTTAGGGACACACACAACCGGTGGAATTCTTTTTGGTTTGTCGGCAGTGATTTTCTCTCACAGCCAGTGCCGGTGGTGCTGGACCTGAACAAAGCTGGCAAAGTCAGCTGTGGACAGTGGTTG